AGGATATGCCCTGCTCCTGTGCTGTGCAGCTCTAGCCCTCAGAAAGAATACATGGCAGAAGACATTTTTGATGCTGGATGTAAAGTCATAAACATTTTTTTTTATCACTCAGATACTGTGCCTGTGAACAGCAATGAAACAGGAGAGGTAATGGCTGCTTGGCCTCTCTTTGGCACATAACTCTGCCTCTGTTTAAAAACACCCAGCAGTAAGACTGGTGCTGTTATGATATGCAGAGAACTACAGCAAGTCACTCGAATCTAATCTGTGTGCTGTATAAATATTTCCCTCTTTCATGCACTCCTGTTAGATAGTGCTTATCTCTGGCTTTAGTCTTGCTTTGTGTACCGTGCCAGTGCCTGCTACAGAGTGTCTCACAGCCCCACTGTGTCTGCCATGTAGTCTAGGAAAGAAGTGTCATGGAAGTGAAGGAGAAATGTCACCAGACTAATGGAGATGCTGAGTCTCAAGCAGCAGTTTAGTGTAGTAACAGAGCAGAGATGATCTCCACTGAAATCTGGTGACCTGTATTCTGATCCACCACTCTCTGTGCAGGAGAAAAAATATCACCTCCAGGAACGTGTGGATAAGGTGAAAAAGAGGGTGAAGGATGTGGAGGAGAAGTCAAAGGAATTTGTCCAGAAAGTGGAAGAGAAGAGTATTGATCTCATTCAGAAGTGGGAAGAGAAGTCCCGAGAGTTCATCGGCAATTTCCTGGAGATGTTTGGCCCAGAAGGTGCATTGGTAAGGAGTTGCTCTGGGAAAAGGGGAAAAGGAACTTTAGAGACATTGACAGACATTGTAGGGCTTCTAGAGAGTCTGCAGAGGAAAGGTTTGGCATTTGTTGCAGTGCTCAGTGTGTGCCAGTCTCCAGACAAGTTGTCCCAGGCTTGGGCATCCTGTTTTCAGGGAGTACTCACAATTGCCAACGAGATAATGCCAGTTACATTGTAGAGTGAAAAAATTCCCCTGTCCCACGAGCTGGCCTGTAAACTCCAGTTTGTGCCCTGCTGACCACTGAGCTGCCAAGAGGATGGTGGTCACTTTGTCATTGGCCTAAGATGAGTCTGAAGCTACCTGTTTATGCCAGGCTTTCCTGCACTGTTGGGTGAATATCACAAGTATTTCATGTTAGAGGTGCTTGAAAATGAGTGGTGATTGCACTGTGTGCAGCTCCAAAGCCCAGAGTAATGCTGGGGATTTTTCTGCTCTTCAGTAGCATGAAGTTTTGAAGGGGCACAACTCAAAATGCTGCACAGGCTGTAAGCAGTGTCCTTTTTCATGACTGTGTTACCCAAGCTTACTGTCCTCCTGCTTCCCTCACCAGAAACACATGCTGAAGGAGGGCAAGGGCCGGATGCTGCAGGCCATCAGCCCAAAGCAGAGTCCCAGCAGCAGCCCCACACACGAGCGCTCCCCATCTCCCTCCTTCCGCTGGCCCTTTTCCACCAAGACTCCTCCTTCCTCCCCTGCCAACCGCTCCAGGAACGAGTCTGCAGTCACCTATGACATCAGTGAGGATGAAGAGGATTAACCTACCTGCCAGGATTTGCTGCGGACCGCTAATCGCTGAATCCTAAGTCCAGACCCACTGGGGAACTCTAAATGAGCAAGAGAGCCATAGGAACAGGGCTGATGGTGAGCACAGGGCCTCGGAGGCACCTGTTGCTCATAGCAAGGGCTGCTGCCTGGAAGCACATTCAAACCTCCTCTCCCTTCTCCCTAAATCCCCGTTTTATTGTTTACGTTTTAGCGGTTTCCAGGGTGAAGATGGTTTTTATATTTTAAGAAAATATTTGTTAAAAGGGCAAGGAATAGCACTCAGGCGTGGCTTTTGTTTTGGTTTCTTTTCCCTTGTTAATCCTCCAGGCAAGAGGGAGAGTGGGAAGACCCATCTGTCTCTTCTTTCCTTCAGCTCCTCTGTCTTATCCCCCTCACTCCCAGGCAGTATCTGTGCCACTGCCAAATGAAAGACCCCTCAGTTCCTCAACCAGCATGACCTCGAGAGCATGCACGAAGCAGTGGTGTAATGAGGCTTCTAGGAAACAGAGACATCCCTGCTGGGCTGGAGCTGATAGGAATCTATCCAGCAGATCCTGTAGTGCTCGCATGCCTCTTAACTGAGCTTCCCAGTGTGTCGCAGTGAGGACGTGCTGGGCAGGGGGTACCAGCTTGGCACGCAGGAGTTACACCCGGGAAGGACTTGCAGCACTGTAGAGTGGCACACCCCGTAAAGTGCACAGCATTCACAGCTCCAAACAGTAGAGGGGCTGCAGGGGAAAGGTCTTTCCAGCTAATCTTAACAAGACTGCTAAATCCTGAGCTAAAATTGAGCCCTCAGTTGCTGTTGGAGAGAAGAGAATCAATCTTTGCTTCAGGGCATTTGCTGTCATGCATTTCCTTGGGTGTGTGAGAGCCCAGGTAGGAAATTAATGTCTAGTCTTTTGAGAAGTTCCTTGTTCCAGTCTGTGGTGTGTTACACGTTTTAGTGTCTGTCCAAATGGTCCCTCAGCACTGTGCTCTGTGTGTGTTTGTCTGTGTTTCAGTTGCTGTGCTGTAGGGGCTGGAGGAGTCCTTCACACTGGTGCCATGAAGTCGCTGCTCTAAGGACACAGCAGCCAGTTTGCTGCTGATGTCAGTGTGTGCAGCTGGACAGATGAAGGGCCCCAGTTCTGTGTGACAGTTACCTGGCTTGTGCAGTACATGCACAAATCCATGCCTGCTCACTCTGCTCCATAGGGCAGGATGGAAGGAGCATCAGAGAGTGCTGCAGCTTTTTTAAGTTATTTAAACACATAATGCTCATTTGAGTCCATGGTCCAAGTTGTGCCTGCTGTTGTGTCTGTGATACACACTGAGCTTTGTGGCCTGTGGCTCCCCAAGGGGACTTGCCCTCCTCATGGCTGAGCAGAGCAGGTTGGTGCACCCTGTCCTGCAGCCAGCACTGGAGAAACTGGCCTTGCTGTCATGTAGCTGTGGAGCTTTTCTGCCGTGGTTTGCCTCTGATACCCACTGTCTCTGGGTGGAGCTGCTGGGCTGAGTTGCCTGTATCCTGTGGTGCTGGGAACAGAGGACAGCTCAGAGCCTTGTCAGCAGTGCTGCTGGGAGGTCTCCAGAGCAGGATGTGAAGCTTGGGGAGCAGCACGTGCAAGGAAGAAACTCATCAAGTGCTGCCACAAGCTCTGCACACTGTGATGCTTCCAGAGCACGTGGTGGCCCTGTGGTAGGAACAGGCTGCAGCCTCTTTCCAGCTTTTGTCTTGATGGTCTTTTGTCACGCTGCCCAAAGGGCTTGACAGAGGTTATGTGCTTCTCTTGAAGCCAGAACCAGTATGGGAAAGGGTATTTTGGGGATCACTAATCTGCCTCTTGGACCTCTTTCAGCAGGGATGTGCACAGCTGTGGAGCATGGCTGGCTGCCATGGATTTTAAACAGTAAGGAGCAAATAACAGTCACGAGGTAGAAGCCAATTGTTAATCCTCTGGTTTATGAGTGATAGAACACTTCCTTTGTATCACCCACATTGTCTCTTCCCTCATCTTCCCTTCTACCTTTCCCTCACTATGGATGTTGCGGTTGCTTTCCTGAGCCAGATCACAAAGGCCAGGCTGCTTTAGAGCCTTACTACTGTTTTAAATACAAGTTATGCAACAGTGTTCTCTAAGTTTGGGTATCCACAATGTTCTGGATTGTGGCTTGTTCTGCAGAGACTTTAACATACTTGGTCTCTGCAAAATCTGGGGTGCTTGGTAAGAAGCCAGCCATGGTTTTACATGTAGCTTGGAATAACAGAGCTGTTTCTTGTAACCAATAATCTCTGCTTTCTCCTTGCACTGAAATTAAATTGGACACTGAAATCTCAGTCTAGTCCTTTTTTTTTCCTTTGTTTTGTTTTCTCCTGGATTGCTGGACCGGTCTTCTGCAGCAGTGTCATGTTTTATCAGGAGTAGGTAAGAGCTTGATCTTTCAGCAAAACATGAGCCAAGTTCCCCAGGATCATCTCATTCCCACAGATACACCCAGTACTGCTGCTTCAGGGCTGTTCTGCACACCTCTAAGCCATCCCTCACTCTTCAAAAGAAGCATCCAGAAGAGGCATGAAGTAAAAGGTGCAGTGAAAAAACAAAAGTTTACTAGCATGCAGTGAAGAACCCTGTGGAGTTTGGTGCTGCCAAATCTAGAGGTGTCTGCTCACTTCCTCTGTAGGTCTGGAGTGTGAGCCCCTGGGAAAGGATTTTCTGATGGCAAAGAACAGCAGCAACAGAACAGAACTGAGAAGTACCAGGGATGGTGGTAGAAGCAAGAGCATTGCAGAATTCTGCAACATTTTTTAACATGTGATCTGCTCATTTGAAAACATGGTCTGAATTGTGCTTCTGGCATCTGTAATGAACACTTGGGGTCAAAAGATTACCCAGTGGTTTCTGCAAATTGTCATTGCTCCTGATGTCCATCCCCATGTCTAGAGCAGATACTCCTACTGGACCGAGGCTGGCAATTAGTCAATGCTGGTGAAGGCAGCATTGACTAATTGCCAGTGTTACAAAGGTGCTTCGAGGCTCCTTCCTTTGCCTGGCACCTAACTGGCAGGTGTGGATGCTCCCTGTGTGCTTTCAGGAGCAGCCAGTCCTATGGAGAACAGGCCCCAGGGACAAGTGAGACCCATCCTGATATCTTGAGAGAAATCACCATTGGCCTGGGCTTGCCTTGGCTGTGGGACCCCAGCCAACATCACCCAGAGCTCAGTGTCAGCGGGACGTTGGGCATCCCGTGACGGTCCCATGCCATGGCTGTGTTAGTCTGGGCTCCATCCTCCTCTCCCTCTATGGAGTCATCTCCCACCCAGCCTAGGCAGAGATAAAATGAAGCCAGTCACCAATGCAAGACTCTTGTAAAAATTTATCTTTACTCAGTGCTAGACAAGACCCCGGGCTGGAGGTGGCTCCATGGACCCCCTTGGCTTATGGCTTTTCGGATTCAGACCCTTTCATTCTGTCCCAAGATGCTCTTTCCCCTTCTGCCTCTTCTGCTGCCAGCAGCTCCCCAGGGCCAGGGGAGAAGGAGAAGGTTGTGCAGGGTAGACCAGCCCCTCACCCCACTCTGCCCCTTGGCACCCCAGTTTGTCCCTCCTGCTCTGCTCACGCCTTGGCGTCAGCGCCTGTGGCTGCGAAGCCGACGGGCTGGTAGCCCGGCTTGTCGTCCTGCTTGCGGTAGTACATCCGCGTCAGCACCGCCAGGATGAAGGTCTGCGGGATCAACAGCTGCACATTCATCTCTGGAACAGGAGAAGGGTATTTTGAAGCTGCCCTCAGCCACAATGCCCACCCCCCATGCCACGGCACGTGATGGAAGGGCTTGGCTGGAAGCATGTGTGCTGCTCTCTCATCTCCGTACTTACGCTGCGACCTGGCCTTGGAGGAGAAGGGCGGCGAGCAGGCAATGCTGCCGTTGTTGGCCAGGATGCTGAAGATGGCAGGCTGGAGCGCCGTCAGGAGGAGCAGGATCTGCAACCACCAACGCTCCAGTGGTGAGGGCCGTGCTGCTGCCCGGCTCCCAGCCTTCACCTTCCCTGCTGTCCTGCAGCCAGCGGGGCTCTCGCCCAGCAGTGGCTCCTGTCCCACCGTCTTCCCTTGTGCTGCCTCACCCCATCAGTGCTGCAGAACTCCCTCACCTAGGAGGGAGCTGGGCAGGACAGGGACTCACCTGGAAACAGGTGAACTTGGCCTGCATGTTCTGCTCAGCCAGGTGCAGCCGGGCCTGCCGGAAGAGGATGCCCAGACCCCACAGCCCAAAGAGGGCAGAGACACCAACCAAGGTGTTGATCCAGAGGGACACGCTCTCCGCTGAAATCTGAGGGGGACACACAAAACATTACTGGGCTGACAAAGTTCAGGTGGAGGCTTCCTGTCTAGGTCATCAACCTGCCCATCCCTGTGCTCTGGCACTCACGTCAGCGGGGTTGTAATTCCCATCGGTGGCCAGGATCAGCCCCAGGAAGACAGCGACTGCCTTGAAGAGGGCATACTGGAAAGTCCCCAGGATCATCAATTTAAGCTTTATCCTGGTGTGGTGAGAAAAACCAGTAGCACTCTGAAGTCCCCAGTTCCCTACCCAGGGAATTTTCTTCCAGCCCAGCAGAAGCACGGGGTGAAAGCCCTCCAGGGCAGAGGTTTATCCCAGCTCCCCCTCACCTGCTCATGGTGATTCGGGGCAGGCAGGGGCAGCAGCAGCAGCAAGGCCCAGTGCTGACCACCATGGGCACATCCTTCAGAGTGCTGAGCAGTGCTTCCTTCCCCCCAAAGCCCTCCACCATGACCAGCATCAGCAGGTAGAAGCAGACAGCGAAGTACCTGGGGAGGAGGAGGAAGGCAGGTCAAGCCCTGTGGGCTCCACAGTGCCTGTCCCAGGGTGGGTGATACTCACGCCGTGGTAGCCATCTCCACCACCATCATGGAGCGCGGGAACCACAGGCCAAAGCAGCTGACCACTGACACAACCTGGGGAACACATGAGCTTGGCACACTGGCACTCCTCCTCCTGTGGGCTGGCACCCCTTGGGTGGCCCTGGCCCCCCAGGGTGATGCCCCCCAGCACCCCCACAGCCCAGCTCACCGTAGGGGCTGAGCTGCTCCAGCAGAGGGTCTTCATCTTGATAGGGCAGCGGATCTTGCGGAAGAGGTACGAAACCTCTTCAACATAGATCACAACCGACAGCAGTGTCATGATGGTGCAGAGGCCCAGGATGATGAGTTGGGCCGTGTCCAGCTCTGCCAGGGGGGGTGAGGAGCTGTCTTCATCCTGTCCCGTCTCCCCTGGGGCCACTACCACAGGGAGCTGCCCCTCGACCCACCACTCCCCAGGTTTAGGGAGCTCTGTGCCACGCCCTGGACATGCCTGTCTATGCCAGAGCTGGCCCTTCTGTGCCACTGTTCCCTGTCCCATGACACCCGCCCCAGTGCTGGCCCTTCCTGGGCTGTTCCCATCCCTACATGTGGGTCTATGGGATGGGAGGCTAAGACCCTGGCAGCAGCCCCGTTTCTGACTTCTAGGGCTGCTCCATGCCTGCACTTGCCTCGGCCACCCTACACCCTCATCCCTGTCCTGCTCCCCCCAGCGACAACAGGAGGGGCGTCCCCACCCCGTCCCCCCACCTACGGTGCAGCAGCTGCCGGGAGGTGGGCGGCAGGGAGAAGCAGGCTGCGGGCACGCTGAAGTTCCTGATCAGCATCTCCACCAAAGGGCGGGAGAACCTGTGGAGCAGAACCGGGAGTGCTGCACGGGGACATGGGGACACCCAGCCCCGCAGGCTCCGAGCAGTCCCCTGGCTGGCTTGCCGCACCACCAAGCGGCTCCCTTCCTTTACAGAGGGAACGAATCATCCAAAGTTCCGACCCAAAAAGTTGGATTTGCCCGGCTGCGAAGCGGCACGGGAGTCTCAGCACTCACCTGGGGTCATCTGCCAGCTCCCAGGTGGGATCCATCCTGTTCGGCTCCTCGCTGGCTCCGTCCCCGTGGCTGTGGGGCTGCTCGTCGCTGCCTGCCTCGGCTCCCCTCGCCGGCCCACGGGGTCAGAGTCCCCAGGGCAGGGACCGCGGGACGATGCCGCGCCTCGTTCCAGTTTAACCAGAGCCTGCGGAGCCTCCCTCCCTCTCCCGCAGCTGCGGGCACCCATTGGCGTGGCCCCACGCCGTCCCGGCCCACCGAGTGCTCTGGCCACCAGGTTAACGACCCGGGGTGCCGGGAAGGCAATTGTCACCGGCACGCCTGCCTGTCCCAAGGCCTGGGGCGCAGGGCACCTGTGCTGCGGGGACAGCGCTGCTCCCTCGGGCTGTGGTGCTCCGGAGGGTCCGGGCCGTGTCCCCGTGTCCCCTCAGCAGCGGTGTCGGGGTGGGAGGTGGTGCCGCGGGGCGGTGGGAAGCCTGTCAGCCCCTGCTCTGCTCCGCGGGCCCGGCAGGACTTTGGGTGGCCCAGCTGCCGGGAGCCGGGGCTGAGCCCTGCACGGAGCAGCTCCCGGGGCACTAGAGGGCAGGGCTGGCCCAGCGCTCAGAGCCTGGCCTGGGGACAGCAGCAGCACCCCGGCCTGGGGAGGGGACCCGGGGGATGGAGGGAACAATCTGAGTGGGGAGCTGGGGGCTTAGGCAGGGGAGCAGCAGAACTTTGTCTTAGATGGATCCCAGAATCCTCATGGGTTCCAGCGGTGTCCATGGCTCCAGGCCCTCTCCCAACCTGTCAAGAAAAATGAGTTCTGGTTTATACTGGGTCCCCTTGGAACCGCTACCCTTTCCCCCTCTGGCAGGGGGCTTCTGCTGCAGCCAGGGTGGCACCAGGGCCCCAGATGGGTGCTCTGCACCTTGCTGTAGGAGCAGGATGCTCCTGTTGTCATGGGAATGGGATGGTGGGGAGGGGCTGGGAGGAGGGAATGGGATGAGGGAGGAGGCAGTCCTGTGGGGACTCTGTGCATATCCGAGGTGCTGTGCACACCTGGCCCTCTCCTCCTGTCAGCCCCATTAACCAAGCCCCATATCCCTGTCCCTACACACTGTACATACTCTTTCCTGCCCTATATGCTGTAACCCAACCAGGCGTGATGCACATCCAGCCCTCTGCACTCACATTCAATTCACACACACAATTACCCACACCTTGCACCAGCAGACCCCTCACCATGGCTGCTCCTGGCCCCACAGTGTGCATGGGACCAATGGGGGCCCCCACCCAGCACCCCTGTATCACCAGCATTGGCTACGGCTGAAGAAACACATCAGCTCCTGTGACATCTGTTGGCCTTTATGTGACAGTCACTGCAGGCTGTGTCATGCCAGCCCTGCTGTCCTGCTCATCCACCTGGTGCTCATCCCCCTGTGGTCCATCAGCACTGGGATGATCTGCACGTATCCCTGGCCCCAGGGAAGCAGAGCCCATCCCCAGCATGCAGCCACACCTGCTGCACTGCCCAGACACGTGCAGGAGCCTCTTCCCCCGCCTGGCATAGCCCCAGGGCCAGCACCACCCACGGGTGGGTGGCACAGGGGCACGTGCTGGTCCCCTTGCTCATCACACCTGTGTCTGGCTGTCCCTGACTCACTGCTGTAGCACCATGATGATCCTTCTTGCCACTCAGGTAGTACCTGAGCCTGACTGAGCCCTGGTCCCCTGCGTTCCCCAAGCTCAGCACAAGGTGCAAGGTACAGCTCTGGGGCATGGAGCAACCTGCCAACCCATGAGGGGGTGCAGAACACAGCTGGGCCCCAAACCCAGAGCAGAGGGCAGCCCCACACATTGATGCTCTGCGTGAGTGAGCCCCAGCACACGTGCACACATGTGCAAGGAGGGCTCCATTGCTGCACACTGTCCCCTCTGCACCCCTCATGGGGGATGGATGCACCAGGGACACCCACAGCACTGACTACCTGCATCGAGCCCCCAGCCCCATCACCGTGCCCAAGAGCACCCTGCATGGGCCAGGACACACCCACACACTGTTCTGCTGTGGACAGTCATTGGGGGTCTGGGTGTCACCACCGCAGAACTGTCCCCTGGGGACACAGAGGGCTCTCACCCCTGCAGCCCGAGGTGCTGAGCCCTCCCTGTGCCAACAGGACAGGACGTGCCTGTTCCTTGCTTGCTTCAACCTGCCTCAGGAGCTGGCGGAAATGTGTGTGGAGAGGGGGAATGCAGTGGGATGGGAGAGCCCAGAGTCCCTCCAACTCCTCCCTTATTCCAGCCCCTATCTATGCCTGGGATGTATGGTCCTGAAGCCATCAGGGCTCACGGCCACCCTTGTTCCCCAGTCAGTGCTCTCCACACAGGCTGCTACCACAGGCAACAGCTGGCAAGTGAGCATCCCCTGGCAGGGTCATGGGGAGCAAGAGATGGATCAGGCTCCCACCAGTTCTACCTCAGCCCCAGACCTTCAGGATGCTCCAGGGCAGAGCAGCCACAGGGACTCCCTTTCCTGCCAAAAACCCTTTCAGCAGAGAACGAAAAAGGAACACAGAGGTGGGAGCCATATACCCACCAATCCAGGGCAAGGGGTGGTTGAAGGTTTGTGGTCCACTCAGCATCAGGGTGGCTGTTTTGCCCCAAGGAGCTGGCAGAGAAACCTGCAGCAGTGCTGGAAATTCTCCCCATTTGCTCATTTAGCTTTTTCTTTTTCCCTTAATTTAAACAAAATTCTTTGACCATGGAAATCCTGCTTCACCCCCCTAAAAAAAAAAGCCAAGCAGACCCTCTCAGCATGCCAGCTCACCCACACTGCTGCTGTGTCAGCACTCCCCAATACTTGGAAAAGCCCTTAAAATGCAAATATTTGTATGGGGTTTAGACAGTTTTCCACTGTCTCTAATTCCCTGTGGTTATGACCGAGGGCTGACCTCGGTGGGCACAGCAGGCTCACAGCTGACCATCACCCCTTCCCCATGGCCAGAACATGGCAGGGAAGAAAACTCCTCATTTCTATCTTTGGATATCCTTGGTAGGAGACCAAAACACCTTCCTCCTCATACTCTGCTCTCCCACCCAGAGCCTGAGGCCACGGTGGATGTTTGGGATGCTGGGGAGTGAGAACCCCATGCCCAGCTCAGGCTGTGGCACAGCCAGACCAGTGGACAATAAAGATCTGCACCCTGAGTTTTTGGTGATCCATGGTCACTGCTGCCACAGGACAGAGGAACAGACTCTGCTCAGTGGCACTGAGCAGCCAGGATGCTCCCTCTCCCAAGGGACCTCCCACAGTCTGCCCAGCCCCTGTGCCAGGCAGGACCAGCCCCCAGGGAGCACTGGCACCCCATAGCATGGGGGGATGTCTGGCACCCACCTCTGGGGAGAACCACACTCCACAGGCACCTCTTCAAAGGGATGCCCATGCTTTGCATGGCCACAGATGACCCTGTTCCCCACACTCCTGGGGTTTAGGAGAGAGTCAGCATCCCCACTCTGCCAGTTTCCCATCAGCACTCTGCCGATCCATGGGGAACAGGAGGGTGGGCACAACTCGAGAAATAAATAAAACACAAAGGTCCATCAGACTTGTGAAAGAGCAGGAAAGCCTTTACCAGGGTGCTGGCCCTTTTGAGCCCCCCTCAGCCCTGCAAGCATCTCCCTGGTGAGGAAATTGCTGCTAAGAGTTTGGTGGAAATGGATGAGGGATGTGGATCCTGCTGGCAGTAGTAAGACTGCTGCCACTATCTGCCTTCAACGTTCCAATACAATCCACAACTGTCCAGCTCAATGGCCTTGGCTGGACCCCTGCAAATCTGTCATTGTCACAGCAACACCGGCCACCAGGCTGGAGAAGGGTCCCAGAACTCTGAGCATCCCCCTGCAATGGTCAGTGTGGGGCAGTGACAATGCCCCCAGCCCTGGCCCCAGCACAGCAGGAATGGGTCTGGCTCCCCTCTGCCCCAGGTCTGGAGCCACCCCACTCCTATCCCTGATAGGGATGGCAGGGAGCCCTTCCCACAGCTGGCCCATAGATAAGGCCCATGTGTTCCCCACTGATTGCCCCAGGAGGCAGCTGGAGGGGCAGGAGCCACCATTCCTGGGAGATATGGCCAGGAGGGGCAGTGGGTGATGAGGGCAGGGGGCTGCTGTAGGGGTGTGAGACACTGGGCCCCTCTGGATCCCTCCTCTGGGCAGGTGAAGGTGCCCGGGCTGCCCTGACAGCACAGCTGGGGTGGGAGAAAGTGTGGACCCCTGGCAGAGCAACAGCCCCCACAAATCCTGGAAAACACTTCCCAGTGCTGGGCAAACCCACAGGGCTGCATCATGAGCTTGCTGCAAGGCAGAGTCAGGGACTCCACTATGCCTCAGTTTCCCCAGCTGTAAAATGGGCCATGAGTCCTGCAGCATGAGTGTATAGAGGGCTCAGTCTCTCATTGCTCTGGTCCCTGGGGAAAGAGCTATGCCAGGTGTTATTTAGAGGCCAAGCTGGCATTTTAGAAGAGGGGGATACTGTCCTGGAAGCCAGCTGGCTGCCTCCAGTCTCTGCCTCAAGGTCACTAGGAAAAATGCTGGCCCTGGAGAGGTTTGGGGTAGGAGTCCTTCCAGCTGCAGCTTCCCCTTCTGGGAAGTGAAAACCCCCTTTTCCCAGCACGAGGCAATCAGAATCATTCCTGTCAGAGACCCCAGCCCCACATCTCCTGCTGGGCCATAGGTGATGGGACACTGCCAGGAGGTGGCTGTGGGGTGAGAGTGGTGGAGGGCAGCACACGGGGCAGCACAGGGCAGAGCTGGGGATTTTTGCTAACCAGAGCAGCTCACTGTTTCACCAAAAAGCCAGCCCCGGATGTCTAACCTTCTTGGGAAGCAGAAGTGCTGCAGAGGGTGTGTGGGTAAAATCTCCCCATGCTCCAGCTCTCAGAAACACTGCTCTGCCACAGCTGGGGGACCAGCTCCTGTGCACAGCCCTGGTGACACCCCCAGGGACCCTCCTGTCCCTTCCCATAAAGGTCTGGGTGCCACCACAGATGCTGCCAGCCTGACTAGGCTGCCATGCTGCCAGGCTGGGAAGAGAAGTGAGACACTGGCACAACCAGGATGTCACTGTGTCTGTCCCAGAGCACCTAAAGGGGTCACCCCACAGGGAACCGGCTTGTGAGCCCTCAGCAGCCCAGCTGCAGTTCAGGTCAGCAAGACACCTCTTCCCAAAACTGCTGAGATCATTTGACCATGTGCATATGTTCACAGAAAAGCCCCACATGAGGTACACACACACCCACAAACGTGTATGTGACATTCTGCACTATCTAGGATCTTGTACAGTGCATGTAAACTGTGATCAGCTGGGATGGGTGTGCCCCCAAGAGTGGAACTCTTCCCCACAGGCTGGCTTATCGCCCATGCCATAGCCTCAATCATGCTTCCAAACCATTCCTGGGGAACTGGCCCACCCAAGGGTCCCCTGGCCCCACAGATGACAAAAGGGGCTCCCCGGGGCAGGGGGCTGCCCTTTGCAATGCCCAGCATCCCACAGGTCATCTCCCAGACAGAGAAGAGGAAGAGGACGGTGGGGCCTGTCCCTGGTTTGGGAGGAAGGGGAGCCCACCAGGAGAAGAAAGAAGCCCAACAGAAGCTGGATGAAACCTTTCTATGATCTGGATCGAGGCCATCAGAGCAGCTTTGATGGCCCCAGCCTTCTCCTCACGTTTCAACAGAGCCTCACAGATGGGGTACCTGATAACACCCCTGTCTTCTGTCCAGCCCTTCTGGCCCCCTTTCTGTTTGCT